AGCGTCCTTTGCTCCTAGTAGCGATGCCCTTTGCTCCTAGTAGCGTCCTTTGCTCCTAGTAGCGATGCCCTTTGCTCCTAGGAGCTCCAACAACATGTCACAAATCTTCATATACTTCAATTCAATTGCTTTATGTGCTTTGTGCCTCATGTGGTCCTGCCGTGATTGTTCAGGAACTACAAGGTGATTCGTTTGGTCGTGCCCTCCGAGCTATAAAAGCTGGCCGTCACATGTAATGTTGTGCAAATCCAGAAAGATAACATTTTGTGAAGAACCTCCAGCAAAAGGACGTGACATAATATGAACTCTTCAAGGTCCAGAAGAATCCTGGAAGTGTAGTTTGGATTTGTCCATCCGCAACTGCTCAAGCTCCGCACGTGTGTCTGCCAGAAGGGTAGCCTTGGTTCGTGTAACCAGTCGTGCAGCTGAAGGTTTCTTACTCTTCAATTCCAAGCAAGAAACATGACCTCTGATTGGGGATGGGATGTGCAATCTTTTTGTTCTCCACTCAAGTTCACTGTTGCTTTACACGGGTGGTAGCCAGTTGAAAGAGCAAGAATGGGGTGTGACGGGTGTGACAGTGTGACCTGATTGGTTTAAGATTTAAAATGCAATGTTGGGACTCCTCCAATTGAGAAAGCTTGCACAGTTGAGCCCTACCACGATTTGCAGGAGCTGGCGATGGCCCAGCGCCTGTCTGCAAGAGCTGGTGAGACTGCCCGGACTAGCTACTTTGCTGAAAGGGACAGCTTCTGGTGAGGAGTTTTATGTTGACTTGTCCCAATTGCTACTTGTTGCTGGCATACATGTTATGCTTTGTTGCCCATGCAACTGTGATGAGGTCATTCTCCTATGCTCAGCCCAGGCGAGTTGCAAAACGAACGTGCGGAAGATCTGTGCCATACCCAGAGGGATAGCCGCTGTATAGAAACATGGCCAGGAAGAAACAGCTGAAGGTGTTTGTTTTTTTTTCAAGCGGGAGCTTCATCAACACAAAGCGTGGGTGGTACTATACTCAGCCACCCTGCCTTTGGAGTCATATTCATATTATGTTGTTTTGTACAATCTGACTGAACGGGTCCCTTTTGGCCCCGCCATCATGGTTCCAGCATTTGAAGTCAATCAACTCAGGTGCCCAGAGACACATCCAGAAGTGGAGGCTGGGATTGTCAGAGGCGAGCCAAGCCAATGCTTGGGATCCACGGGCAGGTACAGCCATCGCAGGGCACACAACATCCAGCAGGCCTGCAAAGGTTTATGTGTTTGACTGTCACCGTTTCCACTTCTTCCTTGCGGCACATGAGTCTACCAAACTAGAGATTTTTTTGCGGTCATCCAAAGTGTTTGAACTGGCAACGCTGCCCTGAATCGCGGGACATTTGGTGTCCAGGATCATCTCTTTCAGCCCCGCCAGTGGGACCCGCTGCACCGCAAGGCGTTCAGGATGTGGGGCACCCAGTTTGAGCTCTCATGAGGACGGCAGAGCGGCGGAGCACCGCACTAGATCACAACAGGACTTTATGCTCAACCCCTGTTGTGCAGCGTTTCGCTTCACCAAGGACACTGACATTCCGGACTTGCGCCGACTGCCGTTTGCAGACTGGCTAGTGCCTTGGCACATGGTTGAGTTGGCCACAGATGTGTTTGTGATTGCACCCTTGCATGATCATACTGATATCGGGGTTGCTAATCTGCGCTTTTGATGCCCACTGGCAGATCATTGCATTGCTCTTCATGCCCCTTGCTTCAGTCAATTACCAGCTTCTGGTGGAGAAACCTCCTCTGGGTGGATCTATAGACTGAGATGACCCAAACTCAGGCAAGTCTTGATCCATCGGGCAGCCTGCTATGCTACCTCTCCGTGCTCGAGGAGTGTTCCCTGCACGGCAGTCGTCGAGGAGTGTTTCTGCCGATCTGAAGGGTTCGGTGTTGGGTCCGTGACTCGATGTTGCCTGCGTCCTCAGACTCTACTAGGAGGAAAGGACGCTACTAGGGGCTCCTGGCATCGCTACTAGGAGCAAAGGA